CCAGACTTTTAAACTATAAAAACAATCCAACCTCTGATACATTTAAGTGTGGAAAAAAATTAGTTTTACTGCAGATATTAAAAGATGGAGACATGGAGATTAAAAAAACAAGATGGATGGATGGATGGATGGATGGATGGATGGATGGATGGATGGATGGATGGAATAGCAGTTGGATGGATGTATTCACGATTGTATGGATGTATGAACAGCTGGACGGATGAACAGCTGGATGAACAGCTGGATGGATGAACAGCTGGATGGATGAACAGCTGGATGGATGAACAGCTGGATGGATGAACAGCTGAATGAACAGCTGGATGGATGAACAGTTGGATGGATGAACAGCTGGATAGATGAGCAGCTGGATGAACAGCTAGATGGATGAACAGCTGAATGAACAGATGGATGAACAGCTGGATGAACAGCTGTCTCTTTAAGGGAATAGGACATTCTCCCGGTCCGTTCCCAGGTTTCCGTCTCTTCTTCTCTGCCTCAGATGTTTAATGTGACTCCAGACTGTGGATGAACTCTGATGTTCCTCAACATCATCACAGAAAAACCCACAGCAGCATTTCAATTTGGTTTTAATCGATTTGCATGGATCTTTTCATCTAATAACCAACAATCTGCAATTCAATTCTAATTCCTCTCCATTATTCTTAAAGCCAAGCAGACCATTTCACACATATCAGCCACTTATGTGCATGTAAATTATTGATCACCTCTCAAGCCCTTCTCAAATGAGTTGACTTTGTGCATGTAAATAAGGCGCCACACTTTGCTGAGGTGTTTCCAGCAGCTGGCTGGCAGGCAGGCTGGGGTTTTGATTTGGTGCCATTTGGATATTAAGTGCAGTGGAGGCTGAGTGCTATTACAGCCGGGGAAAGGCAGCACATCAATCTCTGTCAGAGGAGGGAAAATCGCTCTCCAGACAGGAGCAGCAGGCGAAGGAAGGGCTGCAGAAAAGAAGGAAAACCTCATGAGTGCTGCACAAACTAGTTTACTATAATGAACTGTATACAAAGTAAACCGCAGCATCTCATCTGGGCTCTGTGTAATAACCTGCAGGCTGATCTATAGCATCAGCTCTACCCATCTGCAACACTGCAAAAACACAAAACTTACCAAGTAGTTTGGTCTGGTTTCTACTCCAAATATATTAGCAGATTCAAAATAAGATAAAACTAAATTACAAGTAACTTTTCAGATTATTCTGAGTCAGTGAAAGTACTGGTTCCACTGGCAGATTATTTCACTTATAGCAAAACATTTTTTCCATGGTTTAAGTGGAATAATCTGCCAGTGGAACTTGTACTTTTCAACAATATTAAAGAAATTATTCACTTAGAAAAAGTTCCTGCATCTTGCTAAAAAGTCCTAAGTTCTTTGGAGATGACGATCCAAAGAAGGATCCTTCATAAATACAAAAAATCTGAACAACCCTGATCATTCTTTGCATGAGACAAAACAGAGTGTCTTCAGTCAGAGGCTTCTTCAAATTCACTGTAATACAGACTGCTACATGAGATCTTTCCTGCCAACAGCCATCATGATCTATAATAACTCTGAAGAATCTGAGTAAATATGAGTTACAAACATTTAATTTCCCTTTGGGATAAATAAAGTATTTTTAAATTTGTTTTATTTCAAAGGGATTAATTTATGTGTATCAGAAACCAGACAAAAATACCTGCTAAGATTTTATGTTTTTGCAGTGCAGTGGTGTCACACTCATTTTCATCAAGTGTGGCTCAAAACTTTCCCATTTACAAACTGCTAAATTATTAATAAATATCGGTCTCTGCCTTCAATACTTATTCATGTTATTAATACAGAAGATCTCTTCATGTTGACCAGTCTCTGCAGGATTTCACGTTTGTTTTTATGATTTCTTGCAATTATAATGACTGATTTCCTGGAGCTAATTAAGAAATATTTCTGCTTTAAATGACATTAAATGTGACTTTTTGTAACTGAATCTTTTTGTTGTCAATCATGGACTATAACCTGACATGCAGGAAGGCCGTGGCAGCAGTTGAAGAAACACTGCCACCTGCAGGTGGGAGTTAGCATCACTTAAAGCCAATGTTTTAGCAGAAAATGTCCAACACATTCACTATGATGCACTGACGCAAAAAAATGTGATCTGTTAATTTGGCTTGAAAACCTAGAGGTACTTGTCAATCATAATTTGGCTTTGATTTATTTGATACAGTAATATCTGAGCTGTTATCTTTACGGCTAACAGGTTCTGAGGGCCACATCAGAAGCTTTGGCGGGCCGGATTTGGCACACATGAAGCAAACAAACGTTTCCTGCAGCTCTACAACGCTCTGCTGCTCCTCTTGCAGTGCTGGTTTGGGCTTTGAGGCGCCTCTCACGGGACGCTCCCCTAAAAAGTTACCTGATGAGCCACCGTTCTCACAGGAGGGATGAGACAAAGGGTGAAGGGGGGGAGAAACAGAGACAGAGAGAAAGAGAAAGCTCTCATTATTTCTCTCTAATTGCCCACGAGCGACCCTCCTGATCCCCCCTCTCTCTTCCCTTCTTGCAACCAGGTAGTGTGCCTCATTACAGGCAGCCTCCTCGGTTTTCCCAGGAGAAAGCCATGAAAAGGCCATGAAAGGCCTCGTCTGACAGGGGCCAGCAGACTGGACCAATTAACAGGGTTTTTCTGTGCTCTGACTTGCCACACTGCAGTTTGCAACTCATCTACAGCGTTAGACTTGCAGATGTCCGAGGTCAGGCTGGGACGGTTTATTCAAAAAGCAGAAGGTTTAAAGTCAAATCTGCGCTCCAGAGCCACGACAACGGTTTACCCAGCGATGGAATATGAAATACGCAGAGTTGGGCAGTAACTACTTACAGTTACTTGAGTAACTTTTCGGAAAAACTGCAAACGTAAAATCTGAGTATTTTGGTATAAATTCTAGTGCCAATATCACTTGAAATCAGAAAAAAATAACTTACAAGTAACTTTTCAGCTAGAAATAGGAGCTTATTTTCAAACAATTCTTAATATTGATTAAAAACAAAAGTACTAATTCCACTGGCAGATTGATTTAATAAAATTGATTTCATAAAATATCTTGTATAAGTGAAATAATCTGTCAGTAGAACTAGTATTTATTTTTAGATCTATATTAAAGGTATTGTTTACTAAAACCAAACTCCTGTCTTGCTGAAAAGTTACTTTTAAGTAAGTTTTACCTTATTTTAAGTTATTTTAATTTTACTATTTGTGCTAGAAATTAGATCAAAATACTTGCTAAGACTCTGTGTTTCAGCAGTGTACTCTTAGGAGTATTTTACTAAGCTTTAGTTTTCTCGCTCTAGAATGTCTGGATGCTCTAAAAACTGAGGACCTTCACAGCTTGTTTTAACATGAAACTCACCTGCAGTTTCACAGATAAACTATTTTCTAATTAAGTTATTTATATGAATTATTTCCATATTGGTCTTTAAAATACCTTCAATTTGACCCGTTTAATGATTTAATTTTTGAATATCAAAAAACTGATGTTTTGTACAGTTAGTACTTGAGTTGCCTTCTTTCTTTCTTACTCTTGGGCAGCTACTTTTTACTTTTACTTCAGTAAAAATAAGTTGAAGTAGTGCTACTTGTGTATAATTTTTGGCTACTCTACTTACAACCGAACGTCATCCTGGCATCTCAGGCGGCTGTGCTGACTGGTCTGCTTGGCTGAATTATGTAACAAGCTGTAATTGCAACAGGTTTTCTCGACACAACAACCTGCAACCTGCCTGCAGCTGTTTTCTCGTTTTTAAAGCCACACCAGTAAATGCGAAAACATGCAGCGCTTTAACGCCGTGTCACTTTAACATCCGACTGGGACGTTCCGGGTCTGAGCTGCAGACATAATCTGCAGAAGCATAAATGCTCCGACATGCAGTCAGCGCCATCCGGCCCAGTTAAAGCACTCCTCACTCGACTTTCACAGAGACCAACTTAAAAGGATTTTCTACAATTTGGATTAGCTTTGAGAGAAAAGAAAGTGACCTAATTAAAGTTTGAAAAGTTAAACAGTGTTTCCAAGTGTCTGTAAATCAAGTTTAAGACTTTTTAAAACCTTTTAAAGGTAATTATGATTTAATTATATTTTAAATGATAAAAAAAAGTAAAAATGTTAGGACTTCATGTAAGTTTGATAAATAATTTCAACATGGACTTGTTAAGGATAAAATGTCCTAAGGCCTTTGTAATCAACATCCAACTACTGAAATCACCATTTTCCAATGTGACCTTTCTTATTTTAAGTTACAGACAATTTTTCAAACTTCCAGATGAAACTTTGCTGAAGCATTTCTAAGAAAAAGCTGGAAAAGGCAATAAATCAGCAAACTTATAAATCTATACGTCAACCAACCCTGAAGCTTTTCCTCTCCACAATCAGTCAGTTAAACATCTAGTTTCTATTCTGCAGTCTAAATAAACCAAAATTATTCATAACCCTGGTAGAGTTTGGTTTAAAATGATAATTATTCAACCAAGATGTTTCTTTTTGATTGGAAGTAACAGTCACATTTCAAAAGTTGATAAAACAACCAGTATTACTGTTTTAAACAATAATAGCCTGGTGGCCCGCCAGGCTAATAATACACTGAGATTAGAGTAAATAGAGGTGTCAGGAATCCATTATAATTATTGGTTTCCATTTAGCTTCAAAAGTCTCCATCTTAAGTTGTTTTTCTTTTCAGGAACGTTTATAAAAGCGAGGACTGATTGAAGTGCAGCTGTTTTCCCGCGCCGTTGCTCCATGAAGGCTGAAAGTGTCCGGCCCTCGGCCTCCCAGCGCCTGGTGACTTCAGTGTGTGTCTGAATAAATGACCCAGTCAAGGTGAGCTCCATGTGTCAAACCAAGAGCATCAAAGACAAACCACGCAACCTTGCCAGAGGGCCTGCTTTCCTTTCACCTGGAGAACCGCGACTTGCACTCGCCGAGGCTTGATGCATTTGAGCCCATCCTGATCTTTGCAACGACTGGTCAAAAAAATAAAAAAAAATAAAAAGTTCAGACAGCCTCCTGTCTCGTGGCATGAAAGACAAGACTTTCAAAGAGCCTTCTCCTTCCTCTTCGGGTTTAAAAGATGCACGCATTCCAGTCAAGGTCACATTTCCGCAAGAGCGATTCAAGGCAAAAATCACCAGAATGTAAACAGCGCTGACTGATAGAGTGGAGGACAATGATGGGGCCCATGACAACGATACCACTCAGAAACAGAGTCGATGACAGTTGCAGCGGAGGTGCATCTGGGCCCAGGGAAAAGGGAACGAGACAAAGAGGAAGGGTTAGGAGAGGTTGGGCTGGATGGAAGGGGGTACTGATTGGTTTGCCGTCTCATGGGGTGCGTGTTTGCCTGCAGGGAAAGGTCACGGGAGGGAATAGGAGTAACGAGGTGTGAAGGGAAGGCACTGTCCTCGGTTCCCAGGCCCTTGGAGACGGCCACGGCAAGGTGTTAATGCAGATGCTCCGCAGCTTCCCAGGTTCTGTTTATTACACCTTTCGAGGGGAGCCAGCCGAGAGTCTCACCATCAGTCAATACAGCTCAGAACATGCTAATCAGAAGCACAAGCTGGCAGCAGAGCCAACTCCCAGGGCCGCAGACGGATAAAAAGGAAACGTAGAGAAGCTCAGCTGCTGATTTTATCCTAAACGCTGAGAAAAAACGCCACACTGACATGAGCTGCCAAACGGCAGCACTTCTGAAGACAAACGAGTTTGTTTCTGTCAGTAAATAAACAGAATACTGCTGTTAAACTGACTAGTTAAACTCCTAACTGGTATGAATTTAAAGGGGCGGTTTTATGTATTATTCAAGTACATAGTGTCATTTTATAGCACAACTTTAGGTGTTATAAAAATATGTCCATATCAATTGTGACTTAAAAGAAATTTGACTTTGTAACCTAAAGCCTTTAAATTGGGTCTCTGTCACTTTAAGAAGCTCCTGCTCTTTCTGACACTCCACCTTCAGCACATCATTACAACAACGACTCTCAATTTTGCTGGTTATGTAGATTTAGGAACGTTTGTACGACAAACATCCTGTCAACAAGGCCTGTGTTTCAAATCTTAAACTGCCACTGTTTTTAAAGTTATTGTCAATTTGTCCACATTTTATTTATTTATATTGTCTATTATTTCTCTATTTGTCTTGTCTATTATGTTTTGTGCTGCTGCCTTTCTTGATCAGGTTAAATTAAAGGTTTAGTAAAATAATAACAACTACTACTCATTGGTCTGAGTAGTAGTTCATATGATGAACTCAGCAGTTCCAGTAGGGGTTTGCTTATTGCTGCCGCTAGTCTGGAGGAGCTAATAAGTTGACATAAAACTAAAAAGAAATAAAAAATAAAATAGGAAACAGTAACAGTGGGAAAATGCACAACTCTATGTCTTCCCCTGCCTGTCAGTTGGCTATCAATTAATCCTCTAGTGCTGAAATTAATTAAGCCATGATTGATTTAAAAAAATCTCCCTCTGATTCTGTTGATGCTTCCTTAAAAATACCTAAATAAAACATCCAGGTCCCAGTGACGGATGATTTTTATGTTTTTCCGCTCAACAATCCAGACAGAATTTGGCAACTTTTGTTGGCCCAAAAATTTAGCTTCACAGCTTCAAAATAGCAGCAAACAAAGAAGTGGGTGGAATCCAGGTGGCTACATCCAATTTTTATATGCAGTGAAGTTTCCCCAGCTGTCTGAGCACACTAACAACTGCAGCTGGATCAATGCACACCGGTCCACTAATGACCACAGGAGCTTCGGCCAAGGTTGACTTGTTGCTAGTTAACTCCTTTCAGACACACAAACGCCGGGAACCACATCACACATCCCAACAAAACAAAGACGCTGATGCTGGTAGCAACGTAGCCAACAATCACAGCGCTAATGACTGAAACAACTCATTTAATATCTTGAACTGAACATCAAAAGAATCATGAAACATGCCGCAAGTCTCTGCAGCCACAACCTGCTGCAGCCGCAACCTGCTGTCCATAGGAGCGACTTAAAGGCAGGAGACCGCCGTGGCAGAAACACATTTAAACCACAGAGCAGTGGCAGCAGGCGAAAACAAATTCCTGGAGGGGCTGATGTGTGAATAGGTTTATACGACGACGTACTAGGGCCATCAGAGATAGAAAACCAAACAAGGAGTACATTTCTTCCAAAAAACTCAAGAAATTTTGAGATTAGTCTCAGAAATTTTCTAGAAAAAAAAAACTAGTAGGTTTGTGAGCTTGAAAAGTCTGAAATTTGCTAGAAAAAAACTTGGAAATGTCAAATTTAAAAATTTTCACCTTTTGAAAATTTCTGAGATTAATCTTAAAATTTCTGAGTTCTTTTTTTTTTTGCAAATTTTTGACTCAGAAATGTTTCTTCTAGAAAATTGCTGAATTTATTCTCAAAATTTCAGATTTTCAGATAAATGAACAGCAGAAAATTACTACAATTCTACAATTTTAAAATTTTTCATACTGCAACATAACATGAGGGATTAGATTAGCTAAAAGTAAATGGACTGTTTAGTAATTTGAAATATATACAGAATTTAATCATTAAATCTGTCAAAAAGATTATAAAAATACCAAACTGATGTATGATTGCCTATAAGTTTAATAGGCTAAATTCTATTAAAATTGAAGAAAGTCAGCCCAGACCTTTCTACCTAAAAGAAGTCAAAACCACTGGTATAGGATGAAATTATCATGATTTAGCATTTAATCCAGGAATCCAAAAACGAATCCAAGTTTTGCTAGAACCACATCAAGCAACGCCTGAGATTTATCTGACAATCCGGAGTTCAGCAAATCTAACAGAAAACAGAAATGAAGGTTCATAAATCTGACTTACCAAAGAAGACTTCAGCTCCTCCTTGTCCAACACCACAGCAGGACGGCCATCTTGAACCAAACATTAACATTATAATAGCAGCAGACACTCAAAGGCAGCAAGAGAATCATTATTAATTATTAATACAAAAAATAAATCAAACCAACATATTTATCCAGAGCAGCGTTAGCATTATGCTAACCAAATCAACACAAGCATCAAATAAACCACAGCAACGTTCATAACTGATTATGAGCAAAAAATAAATTACATTAGCTGATGATAAAAAAAAAAAATAATAAAGGAAGAAAAGAGCAGAACAACATGGCGGCTAAAGCTAATAAAACATGCTGAGAAATAAAAGTTGTAGCTAACTTGTCATTCAAGGTGGGGATTCTGTCTGAGCAAGCTTTCCACCGACTGCCACCATTATCAACTTCATCGCCATGGGGTCCCGAAACTTTACGAGGTGAAATTCTGGCGCCCCAAAGACATTAAATTCATCGATACTGATTGGCCAATTATGTATTATTCTTCCCTAGCAACCCCACACTATTAGCTATTAGCTTCACTTCTTAGGGAAAAATGGTAACTGACAGGAGTCTGTCACGGCTGTGTTGCCAGATTGGCTTTTTAATACTTTGGGCTGGGAACCCCCTCACCCCGCTTTGTTAAATTTGGGCTGCTTTTCACATCATTTGGCGGGTTTGTAGAAAGTCTTCATAGGAAAGTTCTTTCAAAATATTCGTCATTGTGAGGCAGAAAAGCACAAAACTTGATAAAATGCATTGTTATTACACTTGTGTCTCTTGTGTTTGGGCAGGAAACAATCAGATCTGGCAACCCTGGAATTCCCTGTTTGGTGGAAATGTTATGTAAATAATTCAGATTACATTAGCCACACATTATTAAGGAAAACTGGTTAATACAATTTTAAGAAATGTTTAAAAAGTGTTTATAGGTCATTTTAAGATATTTTGTCCCCTCCATATTAGGAAGAGAGAAAACATGGATCCCTCAGATTAATTTAACGACATACAAGACATGATTCAGTGATAAAAACTTTTGATTGTCCATAAAATTTGGTATTGTCAAGAATTGCGGGTTGAAGTGGTGAGGAGAGACGCTGAGAACCCAGGTATGGTGAAGATAATGAATTTAATGGTGAAAATAAAGCTCAGCAGTCCATACAGGCAGCACGGCAGAAACTAGCACACAGCTAAGTACCGGTAGCAACTGAATCACAGGACTAGACACGAGAGCTGACACTACCAGGACTCAACAGTTCTACTGGAGCGCAAGTAACACAAAAACTGAGACGTTAGACAAACCAGGACTTTACAGTTCTACTGGCGAACTACGACAACAAACGACGATAGACAAGGACCCGACGAGGAATACAGACAACAGGTGGGTTTAAATACACACGGGGTAATTAAGGGAACGAGACACACCTGGGGAGCAATCAACGGGGAGGACAGGACAGAGACTCACAGGAACACAGAGAAACTCAAAAATAAACACACAGAAACACGGAACCTAACAGGTATGGTAAAATAACAGCTAAAAAAATACACCGAAAGATTCTTCAAAATGATTCAGTTGGCAGAAAGTTGCCAATTTCTCCCTAGACCGCTTTCATACATAAAAAGAAATTAAGGGAACCCAACAGGAGAGAAAACAATTTAAAGTCACAATCCGACTTTAAAAATGGATTACCAGGGATTTTATTGTCTCCCTTGCCTCTCAGGGCTTCTGTGCAATAAACTGCATGCAGGCTGTTATGTATCATTATGTTTTAATGTCATTTATGCCTGCAACGAGAGCATTCCCTCCAATCTCCAGCTTTATTCCGCTGAAATCATAAAAATAACCTGAACTCAATGTGAAATGTTAAAGCCCCGTATTTTTTGTTTCCAGAAACTGCTGTCTCTCCAACCTGAGAGTGGACCACGTGGGAAATCCACTCTCATTATGTATAAAATACTATTAATTAACTTTATTGAATATGTCACAGTATGGTTCCCACCACATGGTTCCCTCAGGGTCTCTTGTCCAAGACCCAACCTTGTCCCGTTCGGATCCAGTGAGCCAGCATCCTTCACGTCCGAGGTGACTCCCCCCTCCTTCCTGTTATTGCTTAGAAAGCTGCCAGTAATTTATAATGTTGTGACAGTCAAATAAACAGGGCGGCTGCTCGCTGGAGTGAAAAGTCCTGTATTAAAGGGAATCAAAACAGCTCCAAATGGTGCCTTGAATGGAAATAATCTCGCCGTAAGATCTGCTCTGGGCTGGCTAATTTAAATTTGTTCAGGGTGACAGCTTACTGGAAGAGGGACATAATGAAGTCCATTATCATCAGTGGTGCAAATTCTAAAGAACGATAACTCTCATTATCAGCGCTTTTCTGTATACGAAGGAAATATGTTCATCCATTATAAAATGTGCTGAGAATGACAACATGGAGCAAACATGAGACGCCGGCGAGACACTGGACACGCCTTTATTATTTCTACAATACCCCAACTTGCTTTATTTATGGATGAGGTTATGGGGATTTTTTATGGCCCACAGGAAGAAAATGCTCTGGATTTAAACTGTAATAGTTTGATCAGTCTGATATTTCTGTGTTTCTGCATGCAGAAAGCTTGTGCTTTTATTTACAGCGCCTTTCTCTGTGGGTAATCTAACATCTGCTCCAACAGGCCAGACCTTGAACGGTGGATTATCTCGTAAAAACAGGCTTCTATTAAACAGGCGCCGGAATTAACAATGAGTCATTTTGAACAGAATTAGGTGATAAATAGGTAAATAAAGAAGGTCTCCAGATCTGTAACCCACGATAACCACGGCACGAATAAACTTAGGAGGTTTGGAAAATAGATTCACTTCAGAGAGTGAAAAAATATGTTTGTTGCCAGAATAATCATCAAAAGTAGGTTTGGTGCCAACAGAAATGTTGCTGCTGAAAGAGGTGAAGTAGAAGAGACGGGGAGCCAGGTGTGTGGGGATTCACACACACATACTAATAAGCCAGTTAAAGTCAAGTGCACACATTCAGGGAGGAAAAGCCACACAAATCAATCCTCCATCTATTAAAAAACATTGATTTCAAACATTGTTTGCACTGTCTAAAGCAATAGAAGGTAACAGGTATATATGTTGATATGTAATAACTCCAAATTGTGACCTTTTTGAAGCAAAATGGGGAGAAATCTGGGAGGCTGTTATTCATATTGATTGTTTCTATTTCTGGAACAGAAATGTGTAAAGAATCAAATTTCATTAAGGACGTCACTTCGAATTTCAAACCACAGCTACAGCACGAGCTCATTTATCTGCAGAAACTGTGACAAAGTGGAAGTCAGAAGAATGTTTTTTATAAACCGGCAACCTGAATAGAGATTTAAAAGCTCTCCGTGATGAACTTGTAATCAAACGTATTGAGAGTATTCAGGCACACTCCATCCAACTCAGAAAGTATTCCTGAAACGGTGCTGCCAAGGTTTTCCTCTCCACTGTCACTATGTGCTTCATGCAGTCTGCTGGGTTTCAATGGACAAAAAGTTTTTGCACTACGGTGAGGTTTTGTTTGTTTTTGCATCACGCAAGTCACATGATCAACAACTGGATGCTCCTCTGGTGGACAAAGAAGCATTTTTAATGGCTTATCCACGGTGGCCGACAGCTGCAAACGCACAGCAAACACAAAACCTGCTGCAAACAGGTACATGATGCAAAAAACACGCAAACATAAAAAAACTTTTAAACATTTGTTCGACTCCTTGTTCTGTACTTTTACTCTTTTTGCAGATAAAAAAGGTTTTCTAAATCCCTCTCCAGTAACATTAGAAAAGCTTTCAACAGGCTGGTTTGATGACCTCAAAGCGGTGCTGAGGAAACTGTAAGGAGCTTCTATTGTCTTCGTTGTGAACATCAGATGCATGAAGTGACTTTAAGGCCAAGAAAAACACACATCAAAGAAGCGTGTCTTCTAAAAGCGCTGGGCAGATTCAGGCCCTGCTCCATCCAGGAGGGATCTTCATATCCTCTTTGCACCCAGTCCTTCAGGTCAATATTAGCACAAGGAGCCCCAGCTACTTGATGTACCCGAATCAAATTTACAAAACACTGTTTGACTCATGCTATTAAATCTGAAGATGAAAGAATCACCAAGGGCAAACAGCTCCCAAGGCTATATACCAAATACCCAGGCTCACATAACACAGAGGCGCAATTAAGAATTTAAATGGACTCTGCATAAAATGGGCCTCTGCTGTGAAAATGACCGACTTTGAAAATGTCATAATTAGCCGAGCCGACATTGTGCAACGTGTAAAGTCCAGCTACAGTTTATCCACTGATCTACTGCGCTGATAAGTTCATCTTTGTGATGACATTGTGAAACCTGGAAATATGACGCCAAATGTACCCAAGAAAGGAGATAATTAGGCGAGCAGCTGTAAAACGAGTGTTCCTGGAGGGGCTCATCCGCTTCCCCTCAACTCTATTTACCTTCAGCATATAATTCCAGCTCTATTACAGGAGATGGAGAAGGACAAACACAACACAGAAATGTGAGGGATAAAAAGAAAGGCAGGAGGAGGAGGGGGCAGCTGGGAGAGAGAGGCCAAGAAGAGGATGATAAGAAATCAGAGATAAATTCTCCAGGGTGCAGACGTGTTCCACAGAGGAGTGACCAATCGAGATAGAGGCAAAGACGGGGTAAAATAGTGATAAGAGTGATGACAGAGTGTAAAATGACTCAGTCAGCCCTGGCAGTGGCATTGGCTCTGACCTCCCATTCCTCATCCCGGGTCCATGTGGGTCGGGACCAGAGGTCGGCCTGCAATGTTTCCTTCATCATTTTCACTAACCGTGTCAAAATTTTTACCACTCAGTTTTTAAAATGACAACAATTACGTTCAACTGCACTTCAGTTTCATTCTGTGTAATTAATATTCAACAAGTGGAAGAGATAAATCATATTTTATCATCAAGCCGAATAAATTAAACTTTTTCTCAGAAGTGATAAAGTTTTGAAATCGGGTAACATTTCACCAGCTGGAAGCATCAGAAGTCATCAAGACTCTTTGAATGTCCCGGGATCCAGCAAGCACTTCCCTGACTTTTATTCTGAAATTAAAGTCAGATTATGACTTTAATCCCAGAATTCTGATATTAATTTCTGAATTTAAACTCTGAATTCTGACTTTTGATCTCAACAGGTTGAAGTCAGAATTCAGAGAAAAACTCAGAATTCACAGTTTAAAGTCAGAAATCTTACCAAGTATTTTTGTTTAGTTTCTAGTGTAAATATCTTAGTTTTTTCTTATTTTAAGTGCATTAACTAAAAAGTAACTTGTCGGCAAGATAAGGGACCTTGTTTTATTTCAATAATTGTTGAATAATGAACAAAATTATTAATTAAAAAGGGCAGATTTTTTTCGCGTCATAAAATTTTCCCCATTTCATAATTGAAATAATCTAGTAGTTTTTTTTATCAATATTCCAGAATTATTGTCTTTAAACAATCTTGCTAAAATGTCACTTAA